ATTTGTTGCTGATGTCCTTTCCCCCTCCCTCTCTCCTCTTCCGTTTTTACCTTTTTAGATTGTATGTTTTAGACCCCTCACCCTATTTTTTTTTACCTTTTAATCAAGATGGTTATTTCCCCAAGCTTGGGTTTGTCATGTGCTGAATACCAGTGTCAGGTCTTGGACCAGGGTTCTTGGACCAGGGATTTACTAGGATTTGGCCCAGTTGGCAAGGGGAGTGGGCAATCCTGGCTGGCTTTCCATTACAAACAGATTTTAAGGGAAACATTACACCTTTAATTATTTTAAATGTCTTTTTAGTTGACTACTACATTAGTAAATACTTCTGAACATATTTGAACTGCAGCTATTCTGCAGATGCAACCTTATGTCCCTATTTTAAAAGAATATTTTTAAGAGCATAAAATTATTTTACTACAAAGCGTATTTCTTATACCAGTGCAGTAAAGGCTTTCACAGATGGAAAGGAATATAAGATGCTATATCACAGTATGCCAGACCATTGGTCCATGCAGCCCAGGATTTGCTAAAAGTGTTTGTGCTGCTTTCCCAAGATTCAATGCTTCCATTTTGGCAAGCAACCTACAAACACCACAAGCCTGGATTGTGCACTATGACATCTGAACTCAGGACTCGCTATTCTTGAGGAAGGAAGAACACAGAGTTTTAACCAAACAACAAACCATGTTCCAGGACTGTTTACCAAAGCAAAATCAAAGAGGAACTGAGCATACAGATTTCCAGAAACCCTTAAAGTGTAGTTCTGAGGTGAGTTGCCTTTGCAGACTTCTCACTGGGAACAGGCAATTCACAGCACAATCCTATGAATATCTATTCAGAAGTAAATCCCATTGAGTTAAAATAAGTGAATATAGTATTCCAGCCTTAAGTAGGGAAATTCTTTTGCTCTTAATTAGGAAAAGCATCTGCTGTAGATAATGCTTCTTTGCAGGCATGTTCAAAATAATTGTTGTTGTGATGTGGCAGGAGTGCGGGGGGGGGGGGGAGTCTTTTATTACCCTTCTATGTAATGAGAGCCTGAAGAGGGTTAATTATAAAGCAAAAAGTAATCCTAAACTGGTACATAACTGCAGGGGATGCCGTATGAGGTGAGACTGAGGGAACTGGGTCTCTTCAGCCTGGAGAACAGGAGACTCAGAGGGGATATGTTGGCGACATACAGGTATGTGAGGGGATGTCACATGGAGATGGGTAGAGACCTGTTCTCCCCTGCAGAGGAAGGCAGGACATGCTCCAATGGAGCAAAGTTCAGGGAGCCAAGGTTCCATTTGGATGCCAGGAAGCACTTCCTGACAGTCAGGACCCCGAGGGTGTGGAATGGGCTTCCACGAGAGGTCGTTGAGGCCCCATCGGTGCGGGTGTTCAAGGATAGGCTGGACGTCCACATGGTGGGCATGTCGTGAGCGGAGCCAGCTGGTACTGGAGGTCAGACTAGATGGCCTGGGAGACCCCTTCTGACTCGCTCTGTTTCTATGTTTCTAACTCTTAATAAAGCTTCCTTCAAGGGAAATGAAATCCACATAATCTAAGTCTACCAGTGTGGTGGTGGAAGGCACGCACTACTAGCAAAGGCGTGGAAGTTGAATATGCACCTTCAAGTGTGCACCATACAAAAGGGTGCAGATAAGAGAGTTTTTTTTTTTTTAATTCTCTCTCTCCCTTTAAATCTGATCAGGGCATTTCAGGAAATTAAACACTGAAACTGTTCAAATTCAGATAGAAAACAGATGATGTTATACATAGTAATCTTACAGTCAAGCCTTATGGCTGGGCAGCAGAAACATATGTGAGCAATCAGTGCAGTACTTCTGGAAAGAACCTTTTATGTTTTTAATACTTAACACTTCATAAGAGAATATAAATGGCCAGGATAAAAAGAAGGTCAGCTCAACTTATATTATGAATATTTTTCCAGGCACTGAGACATTTTGCAGTGGTGTCCTCTGCTCCACCCCCCCCCCCCCCCCCCCCCGTCCCACCCCCCCTTTGCTGTATTGCCCAAAGCATCTTGAAGATTAGCTGCTATTTTTCCACTTTGTCCTCTAGATGGAGATTTGAGTTACCTCAGTCATGCACATGGTGCCTTCCCTTCAACTGGTACAATAACTGTGCTGCTTACTAAAGTCTTGCCTATACCTGGGCATTTGGATGACCTTTTCCTCATTTGTTGCTTCTCAGCACCTCTTAGTGACCAAATGTTGTTTTCATCCAATTATCTTTAGAGAAGCTCTCTGGAAAAATGTTCCATGAGTTTCAAAGTCATCATAGTCTAACACAGTGCATATACGCACAGCTCATTGGCCTAGGTTCTCATGACAATGACATTGTACCTTCAATATGCTAGATAATGAAAAATCTAGAAAGGAACTTGCTAGGGTAGAAGGAAGAAAACAATGTGGCATCTTAAAGCAGAACAAATATATAATAGAATTTTTTTAGAGGTAAATCATATATACTATTTATTGCCAACTGAAGGTGTGTGTGTGTTTGTGTGTATATATCTATATCATCTCTCTCTATATGTGTGTGTGTGTGTGTGTGTGTGTGTGTGTGTGTGTGTGCGCGCGTGCACGCACACCATTCTTCAATCAAATTCTCTGGATGGTTTATATAGCAAAGTAATAAGCAAACACAATTATGTTATGGCTTTCCAGGTGTTAAAGAAAGGAGCTAGATGCATTTCAAACAGGGGGTATGAAGCCATAGGGTAGAATACCAGTGCCTCATTATCTGTGATGTCTGTTGTCTCATAGAACAATCACCTTGTTGGTGGAGCTGAAAAGATGCTTGTGGGACCAATGACTTTGTGGAAAGGGGAGAAAGGTAGTTTGTTTGGCCTGTACATCTTCCTTGCAGATTCTTTGTTTTCTGAATAGCCTCATCCATCTTTGCATTAAACAATCCTTCTGCATCAAAGAGTGATCTTCTATATGCATGAACAAAGCTTCCTACACGTACCCTGCAAAGATGTCATGGGTGGAGCCAAGTGTCTCAACGAAGGGTTATGGCACCAACCATAACTTTAGCATCATAGCTGGCCTGGTTACATCAGATATTAACATGTTGTCTAAACAAACTTACAGCCTTGGACTTTGGTAATTTGGTAAGTAATTGAAGAAGGAGTCTATTTTCTCTCAGACAAAAAACTGGTATGTGAATACTGCTGCCTGCTTACTGAAGATGTGCAGACCAAAGGCCTCTGGGGAGTAAATTCTCTGACCCATCAAATTTAGTCTTCTACCTTCCTCCTACCTACAATTGTAATACTACAATACTACAGCAACAGATGTGAGAAGAGAAAAACAGCATTTTTCCTTTGGATTCTGTATATGCCTTCTAGCTTCTTAGATGTAGGTCCTGTAGCTGACAGTAGCTGACTTAAGACAGCACAATAAGCCATGATGTTGTGTTTTGTTTTTACTGTTGTCAGTATGTTGTGGTGTCTGAACTGAATCATGGTATTTCACTATGATAAAATTGGTCTTTAGAAACCATGACAACAAACAATGCTTTGTTCTATGGTATCTCCAGACCACCGTGACTTGTCTGAATCCAGGACCATGGTTTTCATGGTGCTGGTATACAACTATCACAGAGTTCTCTGGAAAAACTTCAGGAACTGCTCCAGCCATCCAGCCTCTGTGTGGACCAGTGAAAAAGAAGCAAGTGACAGGCAGGAAGTGATGCACCATGGGATTGTGGAAGGTCTGGGTTGCAGGTTGTAGGCAGCTATGGTCAAGAAACTGGGACCAGGGTGCAGATGCAGGGCAGAGGCTTGTTCCAGGTTTAGGCCTGAGGTAAGGGTCATGTCCTAGGACAGTATTGAATTCAACAGCCAAGGTTCAGGAAAAAACACAATCCAAGAGCAGGTGAAAGGTCAGGTACCAGAAAGACAGTCACATGCAGGAGCAAAGTGAGATCAGGGAGAATGGGCACAGGTACCTAGGAATTAGGGTCAGACTGGAGACAAGGATGGAAGCAGGAACAGGTTGGAGCTTGGCTGGAGCTGGGCAGGAGGTAGGCAGGAACAAGGACTTGGAGCAAGATCTCGGTTGGCAAAACTGGAAGCCAAAACATGAGATAGCCACCAGATCAGCTTATGTTACTATGGCAAGGAGCAGTAGTGCAGTGAAGTCTTTTATGCAGCATTCCCGGGCTTCCAGTTGCACTGTATAATTGCCACACAGCTGTTCCTTGCAAGCACCTGCAGGGCTTTTCCTGGTTCTGCAGGTTCTTGTAGGGTGAACCAGCCTCTGATCCTGACAGACTGAATTTCAGGTGCAGTGGCTGATGGGATGCATGCCAACAGCAGGAGGACTGGATGGACAACGTAACAAGACATGGTGGGTTGTTTTTATTTTTGTTAAACTATTATTGGTCCGTTGAACTATTGTTGAACCTATTCATGGTATTTCACAATGGTAGGTTTGGTCTTTAGAAACTACCATAAGAAACAACAGGTTGTTCTAGGATTTCTCGCTACCAACATGGTTTGTTATGTTGTTCAAATCCAGGATCATGGTTTCCACAGACCTTGTATGCAACTATTGCAGAGTCCCTTGGAAAGAGCATTGACTGCAGAAGCTCATACAGTCATCCAAGCTCTATGTGCAGACCTATGAGCAAGAGGCAGGTGACATAATGAAAGGACGGAGTTGGGAGAATGGATACCATGGTAAATTAGGAATCATAGACCATGGTAAAAAGATTGTGAACCATAATAACCATGAAAGCTTCTTATTTATTTATTGCTTTTATAGACCATTCAACAGCCATACATGGCTCCCAGAACAGTTTATAAAAAGCAATATTAAAAATAGATGTTCATAATTACATCCTATAGCAATTACAACAGTAAAAACAAACATACTTACAGAGTGCCATTTTAAATAAATCTAAAAAAAAAACTAAAAATCTCTCAGCCACCAACCTACCCACCTCTTGACCTCATATTAATGATAGTCACATATTCATACCTTTGCTAGACATAACAATAAATAATTAAATGAATTCACATAATTAAATTTAACAGAGTTCCATGGCATCATGCTGGCTACATGACCATGGATCATCTTTGGACAACGCTGGCTCATGGCCTTAGAAACAGAGATGAGCACTGCCGCCTATTAGCCATTGGCTAAGTGGAGTAAAATCCGCATGGACTCCTTTACCTTACATAATTAAATATTGATAAACAATAAAATTGAATCAATATGCATAAATAAATAAAAATAACAAAATACCTAAATCATAAAAGCAATTATTCAATGGCAGCCACCATACTCTAAAATATAAAAACATTCTAACCATTAAAACATTGAGAAAATAAGAAGATCTTGGCCTGACAGTGAAAAGTATGGAGTGTCAGGTGCACCTCTCTGGGGAGCTGATTCCATAATCAAGGCCCCACAGCACTGAAAGCCCTCCTGCTGGTAGCTGCCCCCCCTTACTTCCTGGTGGGACAGTTCCCAAAGGAGGACCTCTGCCATTGACCTTAGGGATTTGGTTAGGGTTTAGGGTTTTATATATCAAGGTGGGCCTAGAATTGAACTGGAAGCCAATGGAGATGATATACGTACTACGTATATGATCATGTCTTGAAGTACCTGTTAACAAGTGGCCAGCCCAATTTTGCACCAGCTGAAGTTTCCAGACCATTTTCAAGGGCAGCACCACATAAAGCATGCTACAGTAGTCCAAATGGGAAGCTACCAGTGCATGGACCACTGTCATTAGATCCTGTCTGTCCAGGTGGGTGTATTTGATGGATTACCATATTTTTCCGTGTATAAGACAATATTTTTTCATTAAAATATTTAGCTAAAAATGTAGGGGCATCTTATACACAAGGGGCTGAGAGGAGAACCACGGGCATACTTGGGGGTGGGGGGTGGGGAATGACACAGGCGTGATCGGGGGGGCAGGCGTAGCCAGGTGGCTAGGGCACGTGAGCAGCAGCAGCTTGCTTGCTTGGAGATCAGTAAAAAAAAGTGGGGGCGGAGCGTCCTATACATGGGAGCATCTTATAGATGGAAAAATATGGTAAATGGAGTTGTTGAAAAGCACACCTGGCCACCTGGAATTCCCGGGACAGCTCAAGGTCCAGAAGCACCCCCAAACTCTGAACCCTATCCTTTAGGGGGAGTGTAACCTCATCAAGAATAGGCCAAATATCTCCATCCAGACTGAGACCCACCTACCAGTAGAACCTCCATCTTATCTGGATTAACTCTCAATTTATTCACCCTTATCCAGTCCATCACTCCCTTCAGGCATTGGTTCAGAACCGTTGCCATCTCACCTGGATTAGATGACCATGACCATAGAGCTGAGTGTCATTGGCATACTGGTGACACTTCAGCCCAAACCCCCTGATGACCTCTCACAGTGTTTTTGTGTAGATGTTAAAAAGCATGGGAGAGGGTATAGAGCCCTGTGATACTCCATAGTGTAGCAGCCATGGCACATAGCTACACGCTCCCAATATAACCTTCTGGAGGCAGTCAACCAGGTAAGAATGCAACCACTGCCAAGCAGTGCCCCCAACTTCCAACTCAGCCAGCCTATCCAGAAGGATGTAGTCCCCCTGTCCTTATCTCAGCAAAGGTCATCCGACAGGGTGACCAAGGCAGTTTCAGTACCAAAACCAGCCCTGAAACTGGACTGAAATTGATCTTGATGGTCAGTTTCCCCCAGGAGTGCCTGGAGTTTTTCAGCTACCACCCTCTAGACCACCTTGCCCAAAAAGGGTATGTTGGCAACCAGTCAATAGTTATTAACATCTTCTTCAGAACTGATCTGGTCACTGCCTCCTTCAATGGAGGTGGGACCTTTCCCTCCCTCAGAGAGCATTCACCATCTCCTGAAATCAGAGATGCAGCCCCTCCTTTGCTTGTGTAATAAGCCATGGAGAGCAAGGATCAAGTAGTCAGCCAGACCCTTCCACACAGCTTGTCCATGTCCTTAGGCTTCAATAATTGAAACTCATCCAATAAATACAACTAGAGGGTGCACTGGGCACTTTGGTTCTAGGGAGTGTATCCAGTGTGGAGCCCAATCCACACCAAATCTGAATAATTGTTGTGAATGCAGTCGGTATCTTACAAGACTGTTGGACACTATCTAAGAGCACTGGAAAAATGGGATTGCTATTGCTTCAGAAGCCTCTGAAGACAGGATCTTTATCCTGAGTGATTAAGCCATCTAAGGAACTTGCTCAGAGGTATTCCCTGTGTCCTCAGATGGCAGGTTGGATCCTGGGTTCCCACCAATCCATCTGGAGATGTGATCAAAAATATGCTGGAGGAAGAGGATGCTGAATTACAACAATAGTCCTTCAGCATAGATTGTGATGATCTACCATGGGCACCAATTACTGGAAGTGGAGAAGTCAGACACAAGCCTCTCTACTGAGATGGCAATCAAGATGGCGTAGGTAACTATGGGAAAGAAACATTAAAGTAACATTAGCAACTTCGTATAAAGAAAACTTATATAAAATGTTCTATAGATGGTACTTGTCACCAAGTCAACTAGCTGTTTCCAAATATGTCAAATAGATGTTGAAAATGTAAACATAAAGTGGGTACTTTTTATCATATGTGGTGGACTTAGAAACATAGAAACAGAGTGAGTCAGAAGGGGCCTCCCGGGCCATCTAGTCTGACCTCTGGCACCAGCCGGCTCCACTCACGACATGCCACCATGTGCACCTCCAGCCTATCCTTGAACACCCACACCGATGGGGCCTCAACGACCTCTCGTGGAAGCCCATTCCACACCCTCGGGGTCCTGACTGTCAGGAAGTGCTTCCTGGCATCCAAACGAAACCTTGGCTCCCTGAGCTTTGCTCCGTTGGAGCGCGTTCTGCCTTCCTCTGCAGGGGAGAACAGGTCTCTACCCATCTCCATGTGACATCCCCTCACATACCTGTATGTTGCCTACATATCCCCTCTGAGTCTCCTCTTTTCCAGGCTGAACAGACCCAGTTCCCTCAGTCTCGCCTCATACGGCATCCCCTGCAAACCGCCCACCAACCTTGTGGCCCTACGCTGCACTGACTCCAACCTGGCTATGAGGGGCCCAATGAGGGGCCCAAAACTGAACACAATACTCCAGTTGCAGGTGCACTAGAGTCGTGTAGAATGGTAGTAATACCTCTCTTGATCTAGAAGCCACACTTCTGGCTATGCAACCAAGGGTGGTGTTCTCCCTCTTGACCACTGCATCACACTGCTGACTCATGTTTAGCCTGCAGTCAACCAGTATCCCGAGGTCCCTTTCACAAGTGCTGCTCTCCAGCCACTTATCACCTATCCTGTACTTATGACAGCTGTTCCTATGCCCCAAGTGCAAGACCTTGCACTTATCCACATTGAACGCCATCCTGTTGTCTCCTGCCCACTTCCATAGCCTGTCCAGATCCTTTTGGATCTGGAGTACCTGCTCCTCAGTTGTGGCCACTGTTCCAGTTTTAGTGTCGTCTGCAAATTTGATCAGCAGACTGTTCACCCCTTCTTCCATGTCATTAAGTACTGGATTAAAATACATAGATGGATGGAGGAAATATTACAAAAACCCTTTGCTTTTAAACCTGAAGTTTTCTTGTTAGGCATTATACCGGAAGATGTTAACTGACAGGAAATCTATTTGATGTTGCATCTAATTACAGCGGCGAGAATTGTATTTGCTCAATATTGAAAAAGTGAGGAGCTAACCACCAATGGATTGATTGTAAGAAAGATCTTGGACTGTGCAGAAATGGATAGATTGACTTTATCGTTGAAGGAGAAAGAGGATACTGATTTCTATCGAACTTGGGACTCTTTTTATAATTGGCTGGAGAAACGGGACTTGGTGTAAATTTAGAGATGTTTTTCAAACTATGATACATTAACTTGAATTTGATATTAGAATGTTTGATTTCTTTGTGTTAGTTTAAAAATTTTATATATATGGCATAGGTGGTGCTTCTGCCAAGGCCAGTTACCACAGCGGTGGTGCCAGAACAGAGGATCTGTACAGTGATACAGTTCTACCTGGTGGCCTGATAAAGAAGGCAGCCTGATCTATCTTGCAAGCACTTGTAGGACTGGCATCACATTTGCAGCTACTTGTAGGATTAGGACCAGTGCAATCATGCAGATCATCTGGGAGCCACAAGAGGCTCTATATGACAGTTTCTCTACCCTGCTCAGCATTGCCACAAGCATGCAAGTTAATGTGGTGGCCTCTCTATGTTCTTGATTTTGCTTCTGCCTCAAGTCCTATAACATCTTCACTTGTGTCATGATTCCTGCCTGTTCCTGATTCTGCCTTCACCTCTGGTCCTGCCATGCCTTGTTGGTATCTGAGCCTTGCTTCTTTAAACAATTCTTTCTTGCTTCTAGCCCTACTATGTCTTGCCAAATTCATTCACCTAATCCTGATGTTCCAGTTGTGGGCATCACTGCTTATGTCCCAGCGCTGACAGCACTCCTGGCTCAGTTTTGCAGATGGAGACTGTTCTTAAAGTTTGTCTTCAAATATGGAGGGAATTGGTGCTGGATCTCACCTCTGTACAAATGTTGCCATTGGAATCAGTGAATTTTGTAAAGGAGATGATGGAGGTACTGATGGTGCCTGCCTTTTGAGGCTGTGTGTGATATTTCAGAATTCCTTTCCTTGTCCACTTGTAGCTAGCACACAGAGAATTGTACCAACTGCTTCTCCAAGGTTGATAAGTGGGAGCAAAGTGGGCATTTGGCTGGACAAGGAAAGGAGAAGACCAGACAAGCTAAAATTTATCCTGAGCTTCCTTCATTTTCCATTTCTCCCCTTTCAAATTGCCCTTGATGGAAAGGCTGTCTATTAAAAAAAAAAGCACAGGGAAGCAAGCATCACCTTTCCCATTCTCCTACTTTGCTGGTATGAGCCTGACAGGGCACTTATATCCTATAGGTTTGAGGGTTTCCAAGCAGTATGGGTGCACTCCATGGGGTTTCACACTAATTTATAGAATTCAGTGCAAGAGGTTATTGTAAAGTTCATCAGTATGGATGTAATAGAAAAAAGATCTATATATTAGTACATATGATTTATGACAAGGTGGCCAGACATACTCAATATAAGAACCATGTATCGTAAATGTCAGATGTTTGAGAACTGTAAGTAGGTACCAGAGGCAGGCTGCAAGTGGCAAGTGGGTGCCTGCAGGAACCCATGAACAGTGAGCAGAAAGCTACAAAATAAACTCAAAGAGCTCTATGCAGCTCTTGAGCCTCAGTCTGGCCACCCCTGATCTATGATATAGTCTTGAATTCATAAGAGGTGAGCAGTGCTGTAATGGATAGGACATTTGTGACATCTTTCATCCATAGAGTTGTTATAAGTCAAAAATGACTTGATGATACATAGCAACAATAACAGCAATTATTTGTGATAAGTTGGAATGGAACCTCTAGGAAAAGAGGTAAAATAACTCTAATCATCTAATACTCATGCTCCCTTTCCCAGATGACTTCTTGGTGAAGGAGACAGAATAATGGACAAGATGAAGTTTAGTCTGGTCTAACAGCATCATTACTTTAATCTTAAGACAGGCCAGGTTTGCATGTCTCCAGAAGCCATGGTGGGTTTTACTCTTGTTGGTTTATCATGTTGTCTGAACCCAGTTATGGAATTTCAGTGTGGTACATTTGGTTTCTGGAAACCACAAAAAGAATGGTTTGCATTTCTCATCACGTGGAATTATAGCAAGACTATTATAATTTTACCCTTGGAACCTCCTTTTGTTTTAGCTCCTTCCCTTTCCCTCATTCTTCAAGTTCACCCCCTTGCAGGTGCATTCTCTCACTCCTCCAATGACAAACCTGGTTTAGGGAAGGGGGAGGCAAGAGAAATGATGCTTCATCCTCACTTTCTCCTCCTCAGCAACACAAGAGCTGACTTGGGGTGGGAGAGGGAGGCAATATGTATTTAACTAGTTGTCTCCCTTCTTTCCTTGCTTGATCACAATTTATCACTTAGTCTTTTCTCCACTTCCCAAACCAATTGTCTTACTTCTGTTCTGAGAAAATGGAACTATGATAAATGTACAGATAATTGGGAATTATGATAAACAATAAGCAGATAGATAAGATAAACAGCAAAATGAAATAATCTGTTAGAGAGGCCACAAGAATGTTCAGATATCCAGATTCAAGGCTGAAGGCAACACCCCAAAACTCTTGGAGTGGATTATCAACCAACAATCTATTCACTGTTCTAACTGGCACAGAAAGAACTATTCCAACTGTCTTTCTGTGATCAAGAATTCACTTGGTAGGGAGCAATGGAGACTGGAGAGGTCAGAAAATAAGGTATCCTGGAGCCTTTCCATCCTCTTCCCTCACCTCCTAAATACTTTCACTAGGTCAGCAAAAAAAGCCCACCTAGCAAAAATTCAGGCCAGATGAATGGGGAGATAAAGATTGCCTCTACTGTTTCTTCTGCCCTGCATAAGATGAACGTATACCCACAATTTCACAATCAGCTTACAATCATCACAATAGGACTTTGCCCTAACACAATTTGTTATACATATAATTTCTATACATTTTTATCTGTTACAGTTACTGGTAACTGTAATGTTAGGCAAAGATGGGCAACTTTATATTGATGGACTGCAACTTCCTGCTTCCCTCACCACTGGTTGGGTTGTCAGAGCTGCAGTCCAATCACAGATGTATAGTAAAACCAAAACCTGAGATTCTTATAAAGCAGCAATGAATTATACTCAGGTAAATTAGTGGACCCCTTCATGGATCACTGCCTTGTCATGGTGAAGGGGCTTGCGTAGCTCAATGAAGTTATGAGCTATGCTGTGCAGGGCCACCCAAGATGGACAGATCATAGCAGAGAGCTCTGACAAAACGTGATCCACTGGAGAAGGAAATGGCAACCCACTCCAGTATTTTTGCCATGAAAATCCCATTGACATTACCAAAAGGCAAAAAGATATGATGCCAGAAGATGCGTCCCTCAGGTTGGAAGGTGTCCAATATGCTACTGGGGAAGAACAGAGGGCTAGTACTAGTAGAGCCAGAAAGAATGAAGCGACTGGTCAAAGCCGAAAGGACACTCAGCTGCAGATGTATATGGTAGTGAAAGAACCATCCAATGTGGTAAAGATCTATAATCCATAGGAACCTGGAATGTAAGATCTATGAATCAAGGCAAGCTGGACATGGTCAAACAAGAGATGACAAGACTGAACATCGACATCTTAGGAATCAGTGAACTAAAATGGACAGGAATGGGTGAATTTAATTCAGATGAACATCAGGTCTACTACTGCAGGCAAGAATCCCTCAGAAGAAATGGGGTAGCCTTCATAGTCAATAAAAGAGTAGGAAAAGCAGTACTGGGATACAATCTCCAAAATGACAGAATGATCTCAGTTCAAATCCAAGGCAAACCATTCAACATCACAATAGTCCAAGTCTATGCCCCAACCACTGGTGCTGAAGAGGCTGAAGTTGACCAGTTCTATGAAGGCCTGAAATACCTTCTAGAATTAACACCAACATATGATGTCCTTATCATCATGGGGGATTGGAATGCTAAAGTAGGAAGCCAAAAGATAACCAGAATAACAGACAAGTTTGGCCTTGGAGTACAAAATGAAGGAGGGCACAGGCTGGTAGAAATTTGTCAAGAGAATATGATGGTCATAGCAAACACTCTTTTCCAACAACCCAAGAGACAACTCTACACAGGGACATCACAAGATGGTTCACAACATTGTACAAGAGGTAGCAACTAAAATCATCCCCCCCAAAAAAGAAATGCAAGAAAGCAAAATGCCTGTCTGAGGAAGCTTTACAAATAGCTGAGGAAAGAAGGGAAGCAAAAGGCAAGGGAGAAAGAGAAAGATACACCCCATTGAATGCAGAAATCCAGAGAATAGCTAGAAGAGATAAGAATGCCTTCTTCAATGAGCAGTGCAAAGAAATAGAAGAAAACAATAGAATAGGGAGGACCAGAGATCTCTTCAAGAAAATTGGAGATATGAAGGGAACGTTTCATGCAAAGATGGGCATGATAAAGGACCAAAATGGCAGGGACCTAACAGAGGCAGAAGAGATTAAGAAGAGGTAGCAAGATTACACAGAAGAACTATGCAAGAAAGAACTTAACGTCCCTGATAACCATGATGGTGTGATCACTGATGAGCCAGACATCCTGGATGTTAAGTCAAGTGGGCCTTAGGAAGTCTGAGCAACAACAAAGCTAGTGGACTGGACAATATTCCAGTTGAGCTATTCAAAAGCCTAAAAGATGATGCAGTAAAAGTGCTACACTCAATATGCCAGCAAATTTGGAAAACTCAGCAGCGGCCACACGATTGGAAAAGGTCAGTTTACTTTCCAATTCCAAAGAAGGACAATGCCAAAGAATGTTCAAACTACCGCACCATTGCACTCATTTCACATGCTAGCAAAGTTATGCTCAAAATCCTACAAGCTAGGCTCCAGCAGTATGTGGACTGAGAACTACCAGAAGTACAGGCAGGATTTCAAAGAGGGAGAAGGACTAGAGATCAAATTGCCAACATATGCTGGATCATGGAGAAAGCTAGGAAGTTCCAGAAAAACATCTTCTTTTGCTTCATTGACTATGCTAAAGCCTTTGTGTGGATCACAACAAATTGTGACAAGTTCTTAAAGAGATGGGAGTATTTGACTCTTGAGAAACCTATATGCGGGTCAAGAAGCAACAGTGAGAACTGGACACCGAACCACTGATTGATTCGAAATTGAGAAAGGAGTTCGGCAAGGCTGTATACTGTCACCTTGCCTATTTATGCAGAGCACATCATGAGAAAGGTGGGGCTAGATGAATCACAAGTTGGAATTAAGATTGCCGGGAGAAATATCAACAACCTCAGATATCCAGATGATACCACTCTAATGGCAGAAAATGAAGATGAACTAAAGAGCCTCTTGATGCAGGTGAAGGAGGAGAGCGCAAAAGTTGGCTTGAAACTCAACATTAAGAAAACTAAGATTATGGCATCCACTTCTTTCACTTCCTGGCAAATAGATGGGGAAGATATGGAGGTAGTGACAGATTTTATTTTTCTGGGCTCCAAGATCACCGCAGATGGGGACTACAGCCAAGAAATTAAGAGGCTGAGTGCCGAAGAATTGAGGCCTTTGAATTGTGGTGCTGCAGAAGACTCCTGCGTGTTCCTTGGACTGCAAGACGATCAAACTGGTCAGTCCTAGAGATCAACCCTGACTGCTCTTTAGAAGGCCAGATACTGAATATGAAACTCAAATACTTTGACCACCTAATGGGAAGGAAGGACTCACTGGGGAAGAGCCTAATGCTGGGAACAATGGATGGCAAAAGAAGAAGGAGATGGCAAAGAACGAGGTGGCTAGATGGAGTCCCTGAAGCTGTCAGTGTGAGCTTAAGTGGACTCCATGGGATGGTGGAGGACAGAAAGGCCTGGATGGATGTTGTCCATGTGGTCGCGATGGGTTGGACATGATTTCGTGACTAACAACAGCAACAACAACAACAAATTAGTGGAGGAAAAACACAACATAGATCAACCCAGTGGAAAGTTCTTCTCTGCAAGCCCTACTGAAATATATGGGTGCTATGGAAGAGGAGATGAAGTTCTGATTGGCTATTATGTATTTGTGGTTGATTTTCATCACAAAGACGTGTGTGCTATGAGTGGGTCAATGTACACAAACCAAAGCTACCAAGTAAAATATCTTACCTTTCTTTCATTCATTTCTTTGTTTTTACCTTCATATTCTCCCTGGAAGACAACAGAGATGGCAAAAATATTACAGAAAGAATATTACCTTTTAGTACTAAGGCACATTGCTGAACCATTTAAGCCAAACATTGTTAACACAATCTGCTATCTATTGCATATGTAGCATAGTGATTAGAGTGTTGAACAAAAACTCAAGAAATCTGGGTTCTAGTCTCCACTGGGTTATGAAATTAACTGGGTTACTTTGGGACAGTCACTGACTCTTAGCTTACCCTACCTCACAGGGTTGTTTTGAAAAGGAGATAGAGAGGAGGAGAATTATGTAAGCCATCTTGCATTCCTTGCAGGAAAAAGAACAAGATATAAATATAAAAAATACATATGTCTTGCCCCAGTTTACTGTAATTCTGAGAAAATCTAATTCCTTTCATAATCAGAAATATCAGATCTGTAGAATACTCAAAATAATCTATGGTTATATACTTTGCATAACAAAGACAAACTATTTTGTATTGTACAGAAGGGCCTGGATTCTGAAGACAACTATATTCATGAAACTTGTGTTCAGCCCTCAGTTTTTAATATTAATATCCACAAAAGGCAAGTACTTGTATCCATAGTGTGTTCCCTTGCCACTCTGCCTTCTATTCTCTCCCTCACTGTCATACTTTCAACTGAAAACTCCTTGGATCAGTGATCTGTCCTTTGGAGGTGTTAAGTGCCAGAAACAGATTTCTCCCTATATAAAAATAATGCCGTTCTTATAATAAAGATCATGTGCCCTGGGATATGATCCAAGAATGAAGATGAGATTATGCTCTAGGATTGGTGGAGGGTTCTGGTACCATTCTTGTCCGATATTGAAAGCTGACCAATTGGTTGACCACCTATTTACTATTTGACTGCAGTAATATGATCAAACTGTCTATCAAGAAAGCTCTGGCATAAATGACAGGACACAATTTAATATTGTATTAGATAAAAGAGAAATTGCCTAAGGCCCTTCTTGCGCCCTACTCCTACAGTCATGGTCTCCCAAAACTCACTAGATATGGTGCTACTTGATCCTCAATGTTCTGAATCAAACCCAATCATGTTATGATTCTGCCAATGCTGGTGAGACATACCCAGGAATCCGGACATGTGATGGAGGTGGGAGAAATCATTTCTATGTGACCTGGCATAGATTCTGGAAAGGGTTGAGCTCTAGAATTATCTAGAAGACTGTAATTATATCTACTTCCCATAATACTGCCTGCTACTACTATTCAGTTAGTTAGACACTATCCTGTCTTAAGAGTCTTTAAATATGGTTGCTCTGAATAATGATACTACATTGCTTCCAACCCATTTTTAAGGCTGTTACTCTAAATGTTCTTCTTTCTACACTTCTTTTCTCATTTATTTTATCCTGTGTAATCAGATGCAACAGTCTAATATATTGTTCAAAACACATTAAATAATCCAAATACTCTAGGATTTGGACAGCAGGGGGTTAGACTCGATGGCCTTCATGGTCCCTTCCAATTCTACTATTCTATGATTTGGGGGGGGGGGGGTTTTAAAATGTATCTCAGTGTATTTTTTGTATTTTTGTATTTAGTGGTAATTTATTATGTTCTATTGTATTTCAATGTATCTTATTGTGTTGTAAGCCGCCCCGAGGCTTCGGCAAGGGGCGGCATAGAATAATAATAATAATAATAATAATAATAATAATAATAATAATAATAATAATAGTAATAATAATAAATGGAAGTCACATGGTTCAAGACAGTGGCCTGGAATCTGAGGTGGTGGAGATAATCTCTATACACCTGAGGAATTCTGGGAAGAGAAAGGAGGTTACTGCAAGCAGCAAATAAGTCAGACTTCCATTGACTGGTTCAATGCAAAGACCCACATACCTGAATTAATAAATTATTTTTATTCCTTTTTTGCCTACAGCACACATTGGATGAAAAGGAGTCTGCAGTTTTAGTGACTTGCAAAGTATGTGCAATGGTTGTGATCCCCCTTGAGGTAAATATGGGGTACACCTACAACAAATGTAAGCTGTTAGTACTATTAGGAAAAAAAAGTGATAGTGCTGGAACAGCAGGTGTCCACCCTCCAAGGAATAGGAGAGACTGAAAGTTCATAGAACAATAGAACTGCAGGAAAAACAAGAAGCATGAGAGATGGAAAAGCAACAACACATTGAAGCAAATAAAGCAGATATGGAGAATGCTGTAGTGAGGAAAGCCAATGAAGAGGAAACTCCCTGGAAAAGACTACCAGTTAGGGTTACCACTAGAACTAAGTAATTGCTCTCATCCACTGGAAGATGGAACCAGAGGACAGCCAGCAAGGGGGCGGGGATGGAATTACAAGGAAATCTGTGCAACAGTGAGCAAGATGCAGAAGATCCAGTGACCAAACAGAAGAGTAATCATTGTAGGAGACACCATCTTGTGCAGGAATTTCCTGTCTCTAGTGGTCAGGCAAGCATCAACAATATGTTGTTTTCAGCTCCTGCTGAAGACATCTTTGTTCTGTGAAATCTTTCTTGCTGACCAGTCGTTTTACTGTTACTTGTTTTTGACATGATCTTTTTATTTATGTTTTAGCTCTTCCTGTTCACAGCTGAGATTTGCCTAGATATGAAGCTGCATGCAAATATTATAAATAAATACATACATACATACAATGGTGAAAGTATACTTTCCTCATATTTCTATACCTCTAATCTGATCTCCCACCGCTACTGCAGCTTTTTGTTGCTAGTCCAAGTTTCTGAGTATACAAAAATCTCTTGAATCAAGACCTTGTTTAGCATATGGTCTGAATTTATGCCAGCTTTTGGGTACATTTGTACCCACTTCTGTTTAAATACCTCTGATTAATTAAATATGATCTGTTTGATCCTTTGCAATATTAATGGCAGCACTGTCTTGTGCTGATCGCCTTGTATATAATCTCCATGTTGGTAATTTAAATGTTAGTAATAGCAAGTTCTTCATCCTCAAAAAAATTGTACCAGTTGTTTTCCACATTCCTAACTCTTTCCACCAAAGTCTCCGTGGGTCCTTTTTACAATCTTAGCATTAAAATACCCCATTAGGAAATTTACATTTTGCTTTTATATACACTTTATAAAAGCTTTATGTTCTTCATATAAGGTCTCTGTATTCAAAATTGCATAATGTTCAAGTCTATGGGATTTGCTTTTAATTGAATTAGCATCACCTGATATGAGAACGGCACAATAGTTTCCATTATAGTTGCAATTATATAGGTTTTGGCACTATAATTGCAACTCCATAATTCATTACTTCCTGAATAAAATATCATGTGCCTATAATCTAACTCTATTTGACTGTATCCTTGCCAATGAACTTCACTTACTCCAAGAATCTGAATGCTCAACTTTTTTTTCATTTCTTTTACTACATTGTGAGTTTTTCCTGTTTTGTACGCTACAATTACGTTCCGAGTTCCCAATCTAACTTTTAATCCAGAGATTCTTAATACCCTCTGGCCCTTTATGTCCTGGTGGGAACCTATAAACTATATTTATATTACTGTTCAGCCATGTCCCCATGTTACAAATTAGTTCAGTCTTGAGAAAACAGAACTTCATCTTTAAGTTGGATTTGTATGTAAGTCAGATCACATATGATCTGTCCTCCACACTTGCAGGCGTTAGAGGGCACATGATCCACTTGAAAATAGAAAACCTGTGAATATCTCTAAGCCCCCTACCCCAACTCACCAGTGCTGCCTCTGAAATGCCAGAGAGATTTCCCTCTCCAGATGGGTGGGGCAGAAGGATCTGCTTTGGAGTTCTCCCTATCTCCCCTTTCACTTCTCTCTGTATGAAAGCTTTAGAGGCCTCTCGCTCCCCTTCTGCCTCCTCTCTCCTCTTTTACTTCCTCTCTCTCTATGATAATGATGATTTTCCACAGTATTTTTAATTGATAGTCTTTATGGAAGTTCATTTGTAAGTATGGATTGTTTGTAACTTGGGCATTCATAACTCAGGGACTGCCTGTAGTTGGAAAATAGAATGTGACCATTTCTATGGCATTCTACATTGTGGTACTATGGCTGCCTATGATGACTACAATCTCCCCCACATTTCCATACTGAAACTCCCTTTCAACATCTCTTGCCTTGACCTTCCACTAATGTTGACAGTGCTGCTGCCCCACAGCTCTACAGGCCCCTGTCAAGCTCCTCCTTCTGAGACTGTTAGCTTTACCAGGGATCAGGCTGTCTACTGCTGCCCAATAGTTAGAATAGCTGAGGTACATGGTAGCACTACTCAGCAAGGTCAGCCTATACACTAACACTGTCTGATACATTATTTATCTGAATGCTTGATTATAACACTTGAATACTATTCAACCAGTCAAATACAAACTTATGAACCCAGCTCTATGATGGCATGTCTCCATTTATTAACTGGCATAGTACCTGATGACCAATACTGTGGACTCAGTTTAAGTGCAATGAAACTTAAACTGGGCTACATGGAGGACTACTACATTTTGCTATTTCAACACCACATCTAGAGAGATGTTTGCCCCGTATGTTGAACATGGATAATAAGCAGGGAAACCTATGTGCATAAAGTTCCCATGCATAGCTTCCAATGCAATCTAGAAATCTGCACATTCAGATCCCAGATAGAGTGTTCCTGTTCAGACATCCATACTCAACACATTGATATTGTGGGGCAGGACAAGCTGCACAACATTAGGAGTGAGGCCAGCAGCAGGGCCCCATGACCCTTCTGTGCACAAATCCTCTATCATGCAGAAAACATGCAAAATGCGGTCTTTGTATGCAAGCAGGGACAATGCTTCTTAGCAGAAACCATTTTACACTCCAGCTGCATTTCATATGTTAGCAATAATTAAAGGGGCTCTATACCTACATCATGAAGGGGATAGGCTGTTTCATATACGTTGTTCACGATTAATGTGTTAATACCTATAGAAAGCAAACCAAAAAGACAAGTTAATTCAATACCAACAGTAATTGTTTCAAATGCATTTTATCTTCATTATTAAAATTTATTTTTCTTAAAATTGTTTTTTTCAGACCAGTGGAGTGATACCAGAGTACTCCATGGGCTTCAACAGAGAAGTGAATTTTTTTCCCAAACTATTCAAAATCTAGAAAAGAAAGATTTTACAATTCATAACTCCATGTTGAAATTTGACCACATCTTTCCAGTGCTAGAATCCAAACTGGGATTTCAGCTGCTTTAGTATTTCACATATTCAAGCACTTGTTTTCTGACTTTTATCATCTTCATTCATCCATTTTAGCTGAAATTGATTAATGCTACTCCATGTGCCATGCTATGCATGTAATAAATAAGTATTGTTGTTGTTATTATTACACTAAATTTCTATGCCACCCATAACTGATGCTCTTTGGGCAGTTCACAATATTTAATTCACCGATCCGGGTTTCAACCAGGTCCAACCCTGCTTAGTTTCCCAGAATAGGCAGAATCAGGAATTTCAGGTTGTATGGAAGTTTATGTTATGTTAGGTGTTCAGATACTTGCTGCTGCTGCTGCAAACATTGACTTACACTGAACATTTTTTATAAATATATAGGTGATGTTGAACATCATCCACTGAATATTTTTTCCAACCAGGGAAAACACAGTGTACATTAACTGACAAAATCCCCAGAAAATAATTTTGAACCATGGGCCATTGTGTAGGGAAGGGTTCATTCCTGTCACCCTGGTAGATGTCCATAAATCTTTGAAATTGGAGGTTTATTCATTATGTATTAAGATTACCATCCTGAGCATTAGCCAAAATGGCTTGTGAGTACCCACAGAAGGTGTGGAGTATAACCATGATCTCCACTGTCATTGGAGCTCTGGACAAACATCTTTAGCAACTGAGATTCAGCATTCAGGGGAGGGAGGGAGGGAAGGAGACTGGAGGCACCAATTGGAATCAGAATAACTCTGTGTCCCCAGTCTCCTTCTCTCTCTGCACCCCACCATACCCTTTTTTCCTCACCTCTAATGCTCAGTTGTAACTTGGGGGCAGGTGTGGGGAAGATCCTAGTGATCAGACCTAGAAAAAGTTCTGATCAGAAGTAGCCGCTTACTACACCCCACTATGTAAGGGCAACTGAAACACTTATTTAAAGCACACCACAAACAAACATTCACTTGACTCAAGTACTCCCACAGTTTTATGAGTCCACCACACAGAATCAATAATAGTCAGTGTGGTCAGTTTTCTTTCTAGAAAACAGTAGAGTATTATTAAACTCAGAAAAATATTTTACTGAGTTCAGCAGGACTTACTCTCCAAGAAATGTGCTTCGAAATTGAAATGGAAAAAATGGATTAAGGAATGTGTGTACAAGTAATCATAATAAAAATGGCAAATGGTATTGGATTTTTAAAATATTAATATATTGTAGTAAAATGCTACTGTACTGTACTATTATTGTAAAGCTCCAAGAGGTTGTGACTTCTGTTATTTCAGGGTCCCTAGAACTGAAAGTCAGCAAAAGCTCTTCAAGAAACAATTCTTCAAATTGTTTCTTGAAATGGATTTACTACATGCTAAACCATTTCTATCTCTAAACAGAACATTTGGTTAGATTGCAATCAATGACAAAAGCATCATATTCACAATGTATGAAAAGAAAAGTGGTAAAATTTGTATTATGACTTTTGCATGCAAACAAATGATGCTAAACCATATGCTTCAGCGGTTCTACTGGTGCAAGATAATTTGGCAGCCATAACACTCTTTTTTCTTCTGTCAGTGACCCCAAGCAGTATATATTGGCAACAAAATTACAAATATTAAATGGTTAGTTCCATTTTCCTAAATAAGCAGGACCCAAAAGGAGTCTGGTTTAGTTGTGGGTTCCAAGGAACACACACACACTGTATAACATATTAACTCTGAAAATATGAAACAGAAACCTTCCAGGTAAAAACATTGACACCTACCACAAGCGGAATTGATAAATGCACAGTATGAGTGCTGTACTTTGGAAATGTTCAATGTAGCTCCAAAGTTTACCATGAGATCACAGAAAAGACCACATCCCCTCTTCTGGGATGTGCTATGATCATGGCCAGGGCTATTGAGAGTTCCAAAGTCTAAGAACCCCTGGTTACATAAATATAGTACATATTAACTGGACAGCCTAATGAAACATTTCCCATTATTTGTTTGTCCAGATTTTTTTGATTTCCTCCAAGCTGTTTAGATATATTGGAGAATTTCCCCAATGTATGTGTTTTTCCAAGTTCGTGAGCTGCATAATTTAAAATAGTTATTCAAATATATTAAAAATAATACTGTGTTTTGTTTTGTTTTTAAATGCAATTTCTTACCCATGTTGTTTTTGGCTTTTGAACTGTAAGTGCGCTTCAAAATTTCATGCACCTATATTTTAAAAAGAGCACAAAACAGTGATGTAACTAACAGATGACTTCTTTCAAGAACACTATGTTCCACATGATGCTAAATGAAGGCAGTCAGTCAGTGAGCATAAATGAAGTGGTCACTGTAATTACTAAGATTGTCCTAAAAGTTCTGGATGGTCCATTTTGGTACATTTGTGAGGATGAAAAGGGGAGGGCAAAGCAGCCCACAAAAATGGCAACTTTCTTAAGAACTAACAGTAATAAACTTTTTTTTCATAAAAATGAATGGTAGAAGCTTTTCTTTTCCTTTCTTAAAATAAACCAAACAAACCATTCTTTTTACAAAACCATGTTACCCCACAGTACTCCTTAGGTGCATAGCTGAGGAAAAAACATGAGGCTGCTAAAATTCCCCACAGCAATATACCTGAAATGATGCTATGTCTTGCAGTAACATTCTGTTTAAGAACAACATGGTCACTTGAGACTGTAGGAGTCAACATAAACAGATGGAAACAGAAAAGTAGGAGGAAGAATTGGGGAATAAGAACGGGAAGAATTGCTACATCCCATTATGCCACAGCTAGGGAAATTCAGGATCACACCCCAATTCAGTTCCTTTCCCCTGTCTTAAAGATGTCAATGATGTGATAAGATTATACATATAAAATCATGGCAGATATTTTCTTCACTACAAAAAAATGATGAAAATAAGTCAAATGTGTAGTCTTCACCTTGTTCAGTTACTATAGTTTATGGAATAAATATTCAAGCCAACAAATCATCAAGAAATGGCAGTCTGTAATTCTAATTTGCATGCAGCCAAAAGGTCTTTTTGCACATTTTTTTTAGAAAATCTAAATAACAATATACTTACTCCCACAAAAAACAAATCCTATTCTGATGAAAATAAAGAGTTAAAATGCTATCAAAAACAAAACTACAGAAAAACAATACAGCCTAAAATCAGGCTGCAAGGAAAAAAATCATTAATACTGTTTTAGATAGATCTTAAAGTTTTCAGAGTCCCCCACACTAAACAAAAATCCTTTAAAGTGTAATCCTATTCAAGTTTAATGTCAAATCGTATTTAAGCTATGTTGGCTGGCACATTCTGGGAGTCATAGACCATTTTTCTGTCTAGATTTACTTAGGATTACATCTTTAATTTGTTTTTAGCATGGGAGAATAAAAGGGCTCCCCCAGTTCCCAAAACAGAATACACCAGAAGCCCTTGAGCATCTCTACTGAGGGTATCCTTAGCATCCCTCCTATCCATTCACTCTCCCTTGCTGATCCCTGAAGAGAATATTAGCATGGGTATCTTTAGACCTTTTCTCAGAAATAATCTAACCCATGAAATTTTGTCCTTTTGGATTGGTTTTCCCTTACTAACTCTAAACTTATGCAACTGTATTTGCACATATGTTGGGGATTACATATTACATATTTCCCCCACATGTTGGGGATTACATGAGTGAAGCCAGCTGGAGTGTGAGGTCCCTTCTCACTCACTTTGTTTCTATGTTTCTATATCCCTTGTTAAGTCTTGCTTCTTTCAAACCTTCTTCTGCTGTCTCCCAACTCTTCTAAATTAATTTTGTAGGCACATTTGGGCAGGGGTCTTTTTTGCTTATGTTACCTTGTAATAACTTTAATAAGACAATAGAAACAATCACATTGTATCAGCAATAACAACGAATGTCTAAGCACAAAAGGTTCCCCCAGTGGAAACATAATTCAGTATTGACTTACTATTCGACTGCGGGTAGCATTGTCAAAAAATGTATCTTTGTCCTGAATATTGTACCTTGGAAAAAATTGAGAGACAAAATCAGTTATGCAGAACTAAAATAATGAACAGGATTATATGGCTTTATTCCATTAGAATCTACCTGAACCACTTGGTCATTCTAGAAATTGTTTGCTGCTTATGTGTAGCTATTTGCCTCCCTTTGGTCTTATAGGCAACACAGTTTTTCCTGTGGGAGTTTTAGGGGCATTCTGGAAGGCAGGGAGGGGAGAGGTGGGGCTTCACCAGGATACAGTATGTCCTGACATCACCTCAGTCACTATTTGTTGTGTTTCAGGGCAAGAGACTGAGATGGTAAAAATCAGGTAAAGGAAGAAAAACAATGAGGTCCTCCACTGGATACTCATTACTTCACTGGTGTAACCCCGGATGATACAGCGTGGGCTGCTAATAACGTTTCATAATTTATATGTTTGAATTCATGGTTTAAAAAAAACAGAGAAATTAAAAAAATCATTTTCAGGCTTTGGAAATACCATTTGAGTCATTAAGGAGAAATAAGGTTTCAGATGCTTCTAATACAATATGGAAATCAACCATGAGGGATAAACAAGGGAATGCCTTGTCATCAATAGAACAGTCTTTTTCCATGTGAACCTGCCTAATTGTTAAAATCACTGTCTGAGGTCCTCCTCCAGTCACCCATGTCATAAGACATTGAGCAGACAATGGCCAGGGAACAGACTTTCTTGGCTGTGACGCTTTGTATATGGAAGGCTCATCTGGTGCTGAAGTTTTTAGTTTAGAGGCGCTAGTGAAATACATTAATTAATACACACACCCAAAACTTGTTTTCAAATTGCTGACATGCTGCTTTTAGTCGTTTGCTTCTTCCTCTATCTATCTATCTATCTATCTATCTATCATCTATCTATCTATCTATCTATCTATCTATCTATCTATCTATCTATCTATCTTAAATTTGTTCTTAAATTGCAGCAGCAAAGAGAGCAAACACCACCCATGGATACCTAGCCCAAAGCGTGGCTTCTAGATTGAGAGAGGTATTATTCCCACTCTATATGACTCTGGTGCGCCCACAACTGGAATATTGTGTTCAGTTCTGGGCTTCTCATTACAAGAGGGATATAGCAAGGTTAGAATCAGTGCAGTGAAGGGCCACTAGGATGGTGGCTGGTTTGCAGGGGAAGCCATATGAGGTGAGATTGAGGGAACTGGGTCTTTTCAGCCTTGAGAGGAGGAGACTCAGAGGGGACCTGTTAGGAACATACAGGTATGTGAGGGGGTGCCACGCAGAGGTGGGTCATGACCTTTTTTCCCCTGCAGTGGAGGGCAGGATGATTCCAATGGAGCAAGGCAGGATGCATTCCAATGGAACCAAGATTTAGGGTTTCATTGGAAGATTTAGTACTTCCTGATGGTTAGGATCCCTAGGGTATGAAATCCCCAATGGTGTTCAAAGATAGGCTGGACATGCACATGGTAGGCATGTCATGAGTAGAGCCGGCTGGAGCTAGGAGTCAAACTAGATGGTCCAGGAGGCCCTTTCCGACTCACTCTGTTTCTGTTTCTATTAGTTTGTCATTTTATCTATATCATTGCATTTTCATTGCTTTTTTTTAAAGTCAAACTTAAAATTGGAAAGATTCTCAAAGTTTTGAGCAAACTGAAGTTAATATTTTAAAATAAGAAGCTGAGAGAAACCAAAAATTTGTTGTAAGCCGCCCCAAGGCTTCGGTGAATGGGGCGGCATAAAAATGTTTTAATAAATAAATAAAATAAATAAAAAAAATGTCAGATTTCTCTATCCCTGTTTGAACTCACTAATGAATGGAGTGAGGTACAGATGTACTCTACTAGGGATTCAAGTCAGGCTGGCCCAGTTTGCCAGTTCATTCCCCTGAGGAAAAATATTCAGACTCAACTATAGGGAGGGACAGACCGTGCTTTTTCCAACCTGTGACACTTTCATATGATATATGTTCACCCATATTGTTCATTTTCATCCTGTTTTTGCACCTTTTGAGGAGATGGTCTCTGATATCCATACAAAAATTTAAATGTGTCATGCATGTGTTTTCTCTCAGAATATGTATTTTAGATGTATGTTGACACCTTCAGTCTTGATAAGATTTGAACCATGAAATGGAGCACTACAAAATCCAAAGTATAGCTAGATTCTAATCTGCATATTAGTGCGGCAGATACAGGTCACTTCAAGTAATATCAGAATTCACAAAGGATTAAGGTTGAAAACATATACACTTATTATATGATTGCATCTATACAGGATATCTAATATGGAAAGATCTCATGACATTTCCTGGAGCTAGTCAGAACCAAACAACTAACCTTTTGAACAGGTAGCTAGTAGCCCATTTCCTTCCTCTAGAAAGCAAGGAAGAAAATGAGGTTTAATTACTGACTTCCATAGTTTAATAGACAGAATGTGAAAGGGAACCTATTGCAAGCAGGAGAAAGGACCGAAGTATTGCATGAAAAACAGCAATACTGAGACACTAGGGACAGCAAGATCCAGTGCTGCTGGTTGCATTTACAGACTCCGGGAAGTATTTTTTCTTTGAGTAAATGAGTTAGCTGTCCATTCTCCATAGTGCAAGGAAGACTGCATAAGGGGAGCAATGTTTAAAAGGCCTTTTTGCTCATGGAGAATATGCATAAATGCCATACTGCTATGAATATCTACACAATGAGTATGAGGGATACTAATGAAGTGTCCTTTGGCCCTCCTTACACTGGCTTTGTCTGTTGTTTGACCTTCTGCTGGGCTTCAAGGCCACTCCACTGATCTCTGTATCTATCTCTCAGCTTCCCACTTCCTGCCTGTCTGCCTCCTATTCCTAGTGCATATGGTGAATCAGACTACTGTGCAAAGTACTGTGCAAGTACTCATTTTGGCTCTTGCCTCTTGGCAGAGCAGCAGAGGCACAGGCTGGGAGAGAGTGCTGAGTGAACAGGGGACTGGCGAAGGCAACGTAGGAGCTGGGCAGGGGAGCAGAGGGTCAGGAGCAGCTGAGAGGAAGGCAGGCGGGGCCAGGGAGGCGAGAGGGACCAGGAGGGAGCGGACTGGTGGGGCCAGTCCTTGTTGCATAGTCCCTTGTCTGCGTCCCTTTGCTGTGGCCTGGGCTGCCCGGGGACTCCCTTCCCTGGGGGCCAAAGGTTTTTGTTTTTGTTTTATTGTTTTGTTTTTGTTTGTTTGTTTGTTTTTTGCTTTTTTGGTGCTGTGCTTTGTTTTTCCTCCAGTTTAAATTTAATTTTTTTTATTTTATCCGTGTGTGTGTGGGGGGGCGGTTTGTCTGTGAGAACTGGGCGAGTGAGAAATAGTGCAGGACAGACAAGGCGGGGCACCAAGGTAGGGTCTCTGAAGGGTTCCCAATGGCAGAACAGGAGATGGCCTTGGCGGGAGTCATGGGTATTGCTGTCCGCTGTGACAGCTACGACATGTTTGCCCTTCTCCCCCAGGAGAAGCACTAGGTGCAAGTTGGTCCTGTTAGAGGAGAAGTTGAGGTACCTGAGGGCCGAGAGAGCTCTCCAGGCCCCCCGGGAGCAGCCCCCCTCTGGACAGAGGGTTGAGGGAGGGGCGACAGGAGAAGCAGCCGGGGAAACTTTGAGGCATGTCACCCACAAGAGGAGGAGGCCAGCACGGCTTCCTCCTTCTCCTGGCACCAATCTGGAGCTGGGAAACAGGTTCTCTCTGCTTAGGGAGGCTGGGGCTAATGAGGCCTTAGGGGACCAGCAGGACCCCCAGCCTGGGACCATAAGTGGCAAGGGGGCCACTGCAGGAGAGCCAAGGGCCAGGGCATGGCCGCACACCACCACTGGGAAGACACGGTGGTGGGTGATTGTCGCTGGGGACTACATGCTGAGGGGCACTGAGGTGGCAGTGTGCCGCCCCAACCTTGAGACGAGGGAGGTTTGCTGCCTGCTGGGCACACTCATCTAGCATGTGAAGGACAGTGTGGAGAGTCTTGTTCACTCCAAGGGTCACCAGACACTTCTGGTGATCCATGTGGGCACAAACGACGTAGTCAGGCAGGGTGTGGTTGGGATCATCAGGGACTTCGAGGGAAGAAACTCAGGGAGCTAAAGGCCCAAGAGGCCTTCTCGTTGATTTTACTGGTCCGGGGATTTGGGCCAGGCAGGGTTGCTGAGGTGAATGACTGGCTTACAGTGTGGTGCCATAAGAAATGCTTCAGGTTCCTTGACCACGACACCCAGTTTCTTGCCAATGAACTTATAGAAAGGGACGGGTTGCACCTCACGAGGATGGGGAAAAAGTCCTTTGGAGATGCTCCAGCTAGCTTCATCCAGAAGACTTTAAACTGAGCTGGGGGGGGGGTTCAGGCCCCCCAGAAACATGTCTGCACTGGACAAGGGTGGGGAGACGATCAGGGCTCTGGGAGTAGGGTTTCAGAGGTACTGCAGGGACTGACAGGACTCCTACAGAGAGGGACCAGGTATCAGGGAGGATGGGAGGAAGAAGGAGGCTGGGGACTACAAGGAAAGGAAGCAGTGGGAAGGAGTTGAGGTGCATGTACACCAATGCTAGGAGCATGGGTAATAAGCAGGAAGAGCTTGAAGTCTCCTGGGAATAGCAGGGTGTGACAGAAACTCACACCCTGCGTCAAGGGTATGACCTTGTGAGAATCACAGAAACTTGGTGGGATGAAAGGCAAGTCTGGAATGTGAACATAGAGGGGTATCACCTTTTTAGAAAGGACAGGAAGGGAAAGAGGGGTGGGGGCGTAGCTTTATACATCAGGGAAGGGATAGGATGCAGTGAGATAGAATGCAGCACAGATAGGGATTCGGTCGAGGCAGTCAGGGGGAAACTTAGGGGTTTTGACAGGGAAAGAGACCTGTCAGTGGGGGTATGTTATTGCCCTCCAGATCAACTTGAGACCCTGGATGATGTCCTGACAGACCAGGTTCTAAGGATATCTCAGGGGAGAGACACAGTAATTATGGGAGATTTCACTTTCCTGGATATTACCGTATTTTTCGCTCTATAAGAT